ATTTAGAAAAGTTTGTTTTCGGAATAAAAATCAAGAAACCTTTTAAAGCTTCCTTATTGAGAATCAAGGCACTGAAGCAAATATTAATAAAAGTTATTCTTAAAATGAAGTCTTTAAGAATGGCAAACAATATGCAATAATTGAGAAGATGATTTGCGCTGTTTATACATTCCTATCAATATCAATAGAAAAAAAAAGTATCGTTCTCTAAGCAATTGCAAAATGCCCAGTAGTTCTAATAATATAAAACTAGTGCATATGCATTTTAGTATCTCAAGGAGCATTTAGCCTAATTATTATTTTTTTTTTCCAGCAAACTAATGCTAAAAAAATCTTTTATATAAGAATCTTTAATACATTTATTAGCTCAATACTCATTAAAGGAACAATCTTTGATACCTTATATATTATGTTAACCACTTACTATTGAGAGTTGAGACAAAATATTTTATGTTATTGAAGTATACTCCAAAACTAGTTTAATAATCGTAAATTGCTACTGATTTATTATCTGAGATCTTAAGTCTTAAAATCTTAAAATCTCTTATAATTATCACATATTGGAGATTTTTTTTTGGATTAGCCTTCGCCCCCATTTAAAATTTATAAACTGAATATGAATGTTTTAGTGGCAGTAATGTATGGTTGGATTAGGTGTGATCTATAGATAGATGCAGTAGTTTTTGCAAGAATGAGGAGAATTCAAAGTTTAAGAAAATGAGGAGTTAGTTGAGTTTATGGTATTGGTAAATAGCAATGAGGTAGCATTGTCTACATATTGGGCTCATATTTTAACAATATTAATACGGTAATATAACTATTAGACTATAATATAAATCAAAATGTTATGTTTGATTGTGTCAAATATAGATTAAAGTGAAAATAATGTATTAATTATTAGGATAGACTTAATTATTGGAGGAAATTATGTATTTGTTATTACTAAAAGTAATGTATTCATTATGATAAATAAAAGTATCAATTTCAATTCTATTTATGAATTCTAATTAATTATTTTATTCAGAATAATGATAAACTCAAATAAAAGTAATTAAAAAACAAAAATAGTCTAGTTTAAGTATTATGGAAAAGGAAAATATAGAGAATTAAAGAGTTAAAGTGGAATAAGTGGCTTAAAAGTTAAAAAAAGACCGTACAGTTGCCCCATGCGGGCGAGCAGACGGTAAGGATTTCAAAAGTTGAAACTTCCAAGAAAGTAGAAAAAATGTTGATAATATTTTTTATACAATATTCATAAATATAATAATTTCTTTAAAACTTAACCACATAATATTTTACTTTAATTTGATAAAATGTTGATGATATATATTATAAATGATATAATTAAGTTTTTTATTTTACGCTAAAAGTTCAAAAAAATTAAATTATAGACATTGATTTTTTTTTTTTTTAATTTTTTGATAGACAGATATTGATATTTAAAAATAATAATCAAAATAATAATATATCTACAAGAACACACTTTATAATAAATAAAACATAAATTATTAGTTTGGATGTGGGTAAATCTTCATTTGTATTTATATATCTTGTGTTGAGTAAAGAAAAAAGCCAAGTTAAGGAAGGCAGAGGGAAATTTCTGGGGTATTCAACAAAGCATTTTGTAAATGTAGTGTCCTATATATCCACTCACCCATTGTCAAATATATATCAGGCACGAAATCTTTCATGGATAATATATATATATACATGTATATATACTTGAAACTTTTTCTAAATGATTTTATCTGAGGAAGAAGATTATTCTGGATACCCCAGGTACTTTCCATTGCTTAAAGTTGGATTTCTTCTGAAGTTCTTAACGTATTTCGATGAAGTTTGAACTTTGAAGTCCATAATACATACATATATATATATATTTACTATTATCATTATTATTCTGTTTTTCAGAGAAGCTATACTAAACATTTTGGCGATTGGAAAGTCTCTCGTTTTCTGTTTTTTTTTTTTTGTTTTTTTTTTCTTTTTTCTTATGGCGGAGATCCGCCTAACTCACTTGGTAATCCCTGTGATTTTGTATATATATATATATATATGTATTTATGTATGTATAATGGATTGTAAAATGGGATTTTTTATTTTTTACATTTTACCCTTCAAATCTAAAACCCACGAAAATTTTCAAATTTAAAGAACAACCATCTTTCTCGGTAATTATTTTCAAGTAAGAATAATAATTTGTGTTTGTGATGAATCATTGATTTCCTGAGTTTTGGATGGATTATATAAATCATTTATTGATTGTTTGGATTTTTTTCTCCATGAACCTTATAAACTTCTCTCATTCTAATAGACATTAATTAAATTAAATTTATGTTCGTGATGATTTATTGATCTCCGAATTTTGGATTGATTATATGAATCATTAATTGTTGGAATTTTTTTTCATATTTAAATTTTATATATTTTTAATATAAAATCTATAAAGAAAATTAGTTCATTCCCGTATAAAACACTTAAAGAGGGCGAAAGAATTTTAATTTAAAACTTTGAATTTGGGAAATTTACAAAATTAGAAATTTCCGTAGTGATTCTTGGTATACCATTTTGCTTTTTTATTTTTTTCTTTCTTAATTAATTTAACTCATTCATTTCCTTCTAAATTTGAATATAACAAATCAGTAATTAACAATATGAAATAATAATTTCAAAAAAAGCCACTCTCTACCTATGTAACTTTCACCAATGCATGTGCTTGTAAAATATAATTAAACAAAAGGATGATGATTTTAGGAAACCAAAAAAACAGAAATAGAAACTTGTCTTCATCAATCTTGGCCAATGCAAATCCAAAAAAGGTTTCCTATAATGGTTCTCATCTTCTATCAGTTGCAGACTCATCCAAAATCTGCCCCCACAACCATGTGTTATCAAACCCAACTCGCCTTCCTCGAAGTTTCCTTCTGCATAATCCCTTTCTCTAAACCTAATCATCTTTTTCACTCTAATTACCATCTAATCTCCATAATTAGTAACCTAACGAAACAACGTCGCATTAATCATCTTTCACTTTTTGCCGCAATTGCAAATCAACTAGTATATGTACATATATAACATATACTCAGCATATCAACTACTACATATACATACATAACGTTTGGCGTAGTATTAATAATAGAAACTTAAAACTCGAATCAAGCTTTGCTACCTGCTTAATTATGATCCTAAGACATCAATCATGCAGAAAGTTTAATTAGGGATGCAACTGAGCAAGCAGTTTCCTCGAACTTTCGTGTGCATGTATATACATATATATATATATATATATGAAGACAATCATAAGGTGTCCTATATGTAAAAATATCCCTGCCATTCCTTTTTTTGTTTGCATTGTTGGTGTTGCTATATATATGCGCGTGTGAGTACGAATATGTATTATAAGCTTTCACAGAATGTGTACATGCAAAGTCTGTATCAAATGGATTTGAGGTTATTATGGGGGGTGGGGAGAGATGTGGTGTAAAACGACGTAGTACCACTGGTTGGGGGCGGTGGCATTTGTCGTCTTGCTTTTTGGAGAGGGAAATGTCATGATGACAATTGAGATACGAAGCTTAGGGTTCAATCAATATATCTTTAAACGTTTAAATTATGGAGGACCTCAAGAAAACCATATTAACAAAATCTATATATGTATATACGTATTGGTGAAAATACTTGTACTTACCGATTAGGACCTACAATTAAAGCAGTAGTATAATATATATATATATATATATGTATAAATTAATAATTTAATTTATTCTTCATTGAATTGAACTTATCAAAAAATTTAAAAATCTAGCTTTGCCTGCCCATGACAGTCCACCTTGTTAGACGAATTCATGCACCATACACCATATATATATATATTTTTTATTATTTATAACTTTATGATTTCTAATAACTTTTAATTAAGTTTATAAAAACAAGTTTAGCATCTAATTACATTTTGCAATACCTAAACCATAACAATTAGGCATTTTTTTTTTTGGGTCATTTGGATAGAAGAATTTCAATTTCTTTGAATTATAACCGAGTTGCAATTAGATTTAAAATCCAACAACTTTCTTATAACTTGTCTTTACATAATGTAATAAAAACATCAAAAGATTACATACAATTTTCTTTTTCGAGAATAATAATATTGACATAATCAGAGGTTTTAAAAGATACCAAAATTAAGAGAGATGTTAAAAAAAAAATATATCTTAAAATTAAATAAAAATATCTTAATATTTTTTAATCATGATAGAATTCACATTGTTTATAAAACATAGAGCTCTTGATTAGATCAGAACTACATACTAAACATCGAACCAGTCACATTTAATCAGAACCCATTTAATGTAGTTCAGACTCAATTGAACAAACAGAATATATACAAATTACAAATTCATAAAACACATAAATTTATTCAAAAAATTACAATGAATGACAAATGAAATTCACACATAAATTAATGTGGTGGTGGAATGCGCACCTAAAGAAATTAAATATCAAATACGTACAAACTGTACTTGAGCCTGGCGTGTAAAATCCAAGGGTTGGTTCCCATCATATTTATACCTGTCCTATATTTAACCATTACATTTATACCTGTGTACAAAAAAATTAAATGTTTTTTTTTTTTTTTTTTAAAAAAAATAGTAATTAAAAGAAAGAAGATTTAATTTATCCTCAATAAACTGTACTTTTAAATTACTTAGTTTTTAGAGATTATTATTAATTAATGTTGTTACCAATTAAATTAATTAATACAACGATCCAGTATTGAAAGTTGGCTAATTATATTAGTGAGCAATAATATATCCAACTTTAAGAATTCCTTTAGTCAATCTCCTCCATCTCTTTTGCTTATATATAACAAATAATTATTTATAAAAATTTATATAATTATGTTTAAAATTGTAAATAATTAATTACAAATATGAAAGCCACAAAATAAAACTTTCACACTCAAGCACCCAGTAAAAGAAATTCTCTCAAAAATTTAAAGCTGTGAGGAAATATCCAACTTCAAATATTTATATCTTAAAGCTTTCCTTCTAATTCCCTACACTTTATATGCAGGATCAGAAGAGTCGAGATTGTTGAGATACAAATAAGTATATGTCCTTCAAATTCCTGCACTATAATGGGAACTGATCAGCATCCAGCAGCAATTCTGAAAAATCAGTTTCCAAATATTGTATTTGTTTAATCAGGTAGATTTTGATTCTATCAGGTTGATGCAATAAACACGGGATCCGATATGCTTCACTTCAAGACCAGCCTTCTCACATCCAGCAAAGAAGAGAGACTCGTCTTCCTTTCCAATTCTACGTCTCCAACTCATCAAAAATGCCGGCTTAGGCAAATTCATCCAAATTCCTGACAAGTTAAATGAAAGAATGATGACTACGATAAACTATCAATTACTTCTATGAGTGTGCTCGAGTCTCCGCTAGATATTACCAGGATTCTCTTCACTCTCCATGAGAAGAACTGATTTGTTATCGCTTGGCTTGTATGCCTTGAGAAGAAATGAAAGAGATTTTGTTAAGTTTGTATACTGTTTTACATCTGCAAGTTGCCAAGGAAAAAAATGAAATAAGTTAAAGAATATCCGATCATAATATAATTTATTCGAAAGCCGCTATATAGTTACCTACACAAGCATAATTCATAGAGCTATAGCTGTCCTTTCTTTTAAGCAGTAAATACATCCATAAATTTGTAACTGCCAATCCAATAAATTTGTGGAAGCTAATTAAGCAGAATCTTACACAATAAGATATCACTTGCTACAACCAAGTCCCAGTCTGGGTCTGCAATTGGAAAGGTATCACCCCATGAATCTGTCAAAAAAATTATGTTACTTTTGTGGTTATGCTATTTGACATAAATAGTAAACATAAACTAATAATAAAGTCAGAAGTCTTATATTCACTTCTAACCATGAGTAAAACCTATCGA